TTGCCCAGCCGTAGCGGTGGCATCGGAGCGCGTTTAGTGCGGCAGGAGGTATTGTAAACTCCGCGGGAGGCACACAACTGCTCCACCCAAAGGGTGGGAGAGACTCACGTTTGTGTGGAAAATGAATCAGGCTGTGGATTAGTCTGGATTTCAAAACCACCCAGATTCCTGACCACAAATGACTAAATCCGCCTTGAATTCAGGCCCCATACATGTTATTATTGTTAAACAGAGGCCTCTGTATGGCCTTCAATTTAAGCTGGATTACGCTTCGCCACCTGCCATTGGCCCATGTAGCCGCTCCTCTGGCTGCTGCCAGGTACAGGAGTGTGTGTCATGGGGTCCCTGTACGGCCTCCCATTGCTGCTGTCTCTCATCGCCACACTCTCGCCATGTGCCACTTTCATGTCTCCTTCACACTGCTGGTGGGTTACATTTTGTCCATAGGGTGCTGGCAGATTACGGGCCTCCCATTGCTGCTGCCAGAGGCCCGTCATCTGGCCATGGGCCCCCAGTACCGATCCTACATGGCTGCTGCCCGGCCCGTAATCTGTCATGGCCCGCCTGCTACCGCCTCCTCTTGCTGTGCACTGTCCAGTGTTCCAGGTTGTGTCATGGGTCCCTGTACAGCCTTCCAATTGCTGCAGCCAGGACCCTGTATTTCTGCCATGGGGCCCCCGTACCAAAATCCTCATTGATGCTGCCAGGGCCCCGTAATCTGTCATGGGCCCATGTACCGCCTCCTCATGCTGCTGCCAGAGTCCAGAGTGTGTCATGGGGTCCATGTACGGCCTCCCATTGCTGATGTCTCCATCGCCTCACTCTGGCCATGTGCACTTTCAGGTCATCCCACACATCTGGCTGGTGGGTTCCATTTTGTCATAGGGGTTGCTGTATTGCCTCACATTGCTGCTGCCTGGCCCGTAATCTTCCATGGGCTTCCGTACCGACTCCTCATGCTGCTGCCAGGCCCAGTAATCTGGTCAATGGGCCCCGTGTCACCGCCTCCTCATGCTGCTGCCAGTGTCAGAGGTTGTGTGTCATGGGTCCCTGTACGGGGGGGGGGGGGGGGGGGGGGGGGGTCCTCCCATTGCTGCTGTCTCCATCGCCTCACTCATGCCATGTGCCACTTTCAGGTTTACTCACAACTGGGTGGTGCGGTTCCATTTTTTCAATAGGATGCTGTATGGCCTCCATTGCTGCTGCCTCCACCGCCACACTGTGGCTCCACACTATGGTTTTGGACACGTGGGACTGCCAAATGAGTGAAGTGTGCGGTGATTCTAGATCGACGGCACTCTCTGCATGTTCATACCTGGACTGACAGTAATTTTTTGCTCTTCCCCAGCAGACTACAAGGGCATTTAAAAATTCAAAGGTACTGTGTTCTGCACTAATATAAAGGGCTCTCTGGAAGGCCTAGAAACACACTTTTGATATAATTTAAATTCACCAGCGAATATATTCGACTCTAATCGAATTTTATCCACGAAAATTTAAAAATTCCGCCGAATCAGTCCGAATCGAATTTTATGGAATAACTGTCGCTCAGCTCCTATTACACTATTATACTTGTAAGGGATTATCCTCGGATCCTTAGCCGCGATGGTCCGGCGCAGGCGCACTGCTCCACCTAGTACACCGGGCACTAGGTCCGGGACCGGCCGCTGGCGTTCGAGGGCTCGCGGCATGCGCAGTAGGAAGCCGCCGGCCGCCCGCTGGGCAACCAATGGCAGGCGCAGGGCGGGATCTATTTAAAGGTTCCCTGTGCTGGTCATTTCGTTGCCTTCTGGTCTTTACCTGCTTTCCTGTGTTCTGTACTGTGCCTAGTAAGTTATTGACCCAGATTTGCCTTTGACCTCTGCTGATTTATCCTAGCCCAGGACCTTTGCTTGCATGACCTCTATCCCTGGATGCCCCTTATTAGAATCTGACATCCTGCTTGCCCCGACTGGGGTGTGACACGACACTGATCTCTCGCCTGCTCCCTTGTACCTTACCGTCCTCTTACAATACCGACTCGGCCTGTCTGACTACGCACTTGCTCAGCCATCCATCCATCCATCCCATCGGGGTCACCCGACCTCCTCACATCTGCTCTCCCTGGTTGGAGCCCCTGGCGAACACCACTACACTGACAGGTGGTGCTCAGTAGAGGCGACCTGGTCTCGGGGTACTACAAGTCCATCCCCACCATCAGGGGCCCTGGTGAACAAGTACCCTGGGGCTTAGACTCCGCGCTCTGGGCACGCCTGACCAGTGGAGTGCTAGTGGTGCCGCTCGGCGGTCCCTCACAGTACCAGAAGGCCATGACTGAGCCTCGAGGAGGACTCTCCCGTTGGACGAGGTTTGCAGGCACCTGGCTACCCTGACGCAAGCCGTAAACACATTACAGGACAGATGTCTGCAGATCGAGAATCGGTTTCAGGCCTGCACCATATCTGTTCCTGTTTCACAGGCCCCGGCTCCTGCACCACCGGTCGCAGCAGTCCATGAGCCGGCTCCTGGGCCTCCCACATCACTCCCTATGGCGGAACCCCGAGTACCCTTACCCGAGCGCTTCCATGGGGATCGCACACGCTTTCGGTCATTCCGTGACTCCTGTCTGCTCTATTTTGAACTGCAGCCACGGCCCTTTTTGACGGAATCAGTGAAAGTGGGGTTTGTTGTCTCCCTGTTGCAGGGTGAACCCCAAGACTGGGCCCACCGACTAAGGGGAAACAATGACCCTCACCTGGTTACGGTCGACAGCTTCTTTAACGCTATGGCCATCTTATATGATGACCCACAACGGGCAGCCTCGGCCGAGGCCACATTTATACGCACTCCGACAAGGTCGGCGGGCGGCTGAGGAATACGCCTCTGACTTTAGGCGCTGGATGGGTGACACTCGTTGGAACGAGTTCGCACTTTTGCACCAGTTTCGTATGGGCCTATCAGAGGCTCTGAAAGACGAGCTCGCCCGGGTGGAGGTGCCCGAGACATTAGAGGACCTAATTGCACTCACCATCAAAATTGACCGTAGACTACGGGAGCGCAGATTGGAGAGGTCTGGTCAGGGTCGCGGAAATCCCTGGGGGTCATTTCAGGGATCCAGTCAACATACTAGGCCAAGCACCCAGAACCTGCTGTTTGAAGATGCTCCCGAACCCATGCAGCTAGGCCTGGCTCGGCCTAAAACTATCGCCTGAGGAACGCCAGCGCAGACGCTCCCAGAATCTGTGTCTGTACTGCGGCGAAGCTGGTCACATGGTGCGTTCCTGCCCGCAGAAACTGAGTAAGTTCACCTCATCTTCTTTATCTGTTGGCAATATGAACCCGTCCCAGTACTTAGTTGTTCCCCTCTCCTTTCAGCTTTCAGAAAGGACCGTGGAGGTGACGGCCATAGTTGATTCGGGGGCATGCAGCTGTTTTGTGGATATCAATTTTGCTCACCAGCAGGGTATTCCCCTCCGCCCAAAGGAGAAGGGGGTTTCACATCTTTTTGGCTGATGGTTCCCGGATAAAGTCAGGGTGGTTAACCAGGAGACCCCTTCCATTGTGACTTCCATTGCCGGTCAGCACCGGGAACTCCTCCGCCTGGATGCTATTGCATCACCCCTTTTCCCAGTCATTCTGGGGCTCCCTTGGTTGCGGGCCCATAACCCCCAAATTGACTGGGAGACTGGGGTTGTCTCGTTCCCTTCCCCATATTGTCGGGAACTGTGTCGAACTTCGGGCCCGGAGGTCCCCCGGGTCCTCCTGTGCTCTGAAGGGGATGACAGCCTAAAACAAGTGATTCCTGCAGCCTACCACGAGTTTCTTGATGTGTTCAGTGAACGGGGAGCAGATGCTCTACCCCCCCCACCGCCCATAATGACTGTCCTATTGATCTGTTGCCCGGTTCGGAAATTCCATTCGGGCGAATTTTTCCCCTTTCTGAGCTAGAATTAGGGGCCCTGAAGGACTATATTGAGGATAGCCTCCGAAAGGGATTCATCCGTCCCTCCACTTCCCCAGCAGGTGCAGGGATCTTCTTTGTAGAAAAGAAGGACAAGACTTTGAGGCCATGCATTGACTATCGAGCTGCTGAATAGGGTCACCATTAAAAATCGTTACCCTTTACCACTGGTACCTGAATTATTCCAGAGCCTAAAAGCTGCAGTAGTGTTTACCAAGTTGGACTTAAGGGGAGCCTACAATTTGGTTCGCATAAGGGAGGGGGATGAGTGGAAGACGGGCCTTCCGCACCCGTTTCGGCCATTTTGAGTACCTGGTCATGCCTTTCGGGTTGTGCAATGCGCCAGCCACCTTCCAACACTTTGTGAACGACATCTTTAGGGACTTCCTGGACATCTTTGTCATCGTCTACTTAGACGACATTTTGATTTTTTCATCCTCCCTGGGGGAGCACAGGGTACATGTATCAAAGGTGTTGGGGCGGTTGCGGCAGCATGGGTTGTACGCTAAAGCAGAGAAATGCTGCTTTGAACAGGCTAGCGTTACATTTCTGGGTCTGATCATCTCCACCACGGGGGTCGCAATGGACCCTCAGAAGGTCTCAGCGATCCTAGATTGGCCTGAACCCATGGACAGGAAAAGTGTCCAACGTTTTATTGGGTTCGCAATTTTTTACCGAAGTTCATCAAGAACTTCTCGGTCTGGTCTCCCCCATCACTCAGTTAACCAAGCTTGGGACGCGATTCAGATGGACGCCCGAGGCACAGGAAGCTTTTGAAGCACTAAAAAGGTTATTTACCTCGGCACCCATTCTGGGTCATCCCGACGCCTCCCTGCCCTACATCTTAGAAGTAGATGCATCTGAAAACGCGGTTGGCTCCATCCTTTCCCAGCGGAAGGGCGCCAAGGAATTACTTCACCCAGTAGCATTCTTTTCACGGAAACTTACCCCTGCGGAGAGGAACTACGACATTGGGGATCGCGAGCTACTGGCTATCACAACCGCTTTAGAAGAATGGAGGTACCTGCTGGAAGGTGCCTCCCACCCCATCCTGATATTCACGGACCACAAGAACCTGGAATATCTGAGGACGGCCAAACGTCTACGCCCACGACAAGCAAGATGGGCATTGTTTTTCTCGAGGTTCCAGTTCCACATCACATACAGGCCCGGCTCGAAAAACACGAAGCCTGACGCGTTGTCACGCATGTACGAGGACACCAAGGAGATTCCAGTGCCCGACACTATTCTTCCTGCAGGAAATTTCTTGGCCCTTCAGACAAACCTTCACTCCGAGATCCTGAGAGCGTCCACAGCAATGTCCACCTCCGATGGGGCTCCCCTCCAGAACAAGGAGGGACTCCTATGGAGGGAGGACCGGATTGTGGTGCCGGAGGATGCCCGAACCTTAGTCTTGGGACATTGCCATGACCATCCACTGGCAGGACATTTTGGGCCGGTCAAGACCCTGGAACTTCTCCGACGTTCCTTCTGGTGGCCGGACATGGCCAAGGATTGTAAGAACTACGTGGGCTCCTGTGCCATCTGCCAGCGGAACAAGCCTTCAAGGAATAAGGCGTGGGGCCTGCTACGTCCATTGCCCATCCCTGAACGACCCTGGCAGAAAATCTCCATGGACTTCATAGTCGAGCTTCCACCTTCACTGAACCACACGGCAATTCTCGTGGTCGTGGACCGCTTGTCCAAGATGGCCCATTTCATCCCTTTACGGAAAACCCCATCAGCAGCCGAGACGGCGCAAGTCTTCATTCGAGAGATCGTTAGACTGCATGGGGTTCCCGAAGACATCGTCTCGGACCGTGGGGTGCAGTTTACCTCGCGGTTTTGGAGGGCATTGTGCAAAGCCCTGGATATCAAGCTGTCCCTTTCCTCGGCATTTCACCCTCAGACCAATGGCCAGACCGAAAGGACCAATCAGACCCTGGAGCAATACTTTCGATGCTACACATCATTCTCTCAGGACGACTGGGTGCCACTCCTCCCTTTGGCAGAATTCGTGTACAACAACGCTGCCATTCAGCAACTGGGCAGTCCCCGTTCTTCGCCAACTATGGGTTTCATCCTGTCTTCCTCCCACCCTTGGTCCCGGAATGCCCGATTCCAGCGACACAGGATGCACTGACCTTTTTCACCTCCAACAATAGGAAACTACAGGAAGCCATCCGTCAAGCCCAAGAGGACTACAAGAGGGCTTTTAATAGGAAGCGAAGAGGGGATCTGGTTTTGCAGCCCGGAGAGAAGGTTTGGCTGGCTACGTCTAACTTGAGGATGCTCTGCCCGTCAAAAAAGTTGGGACCTAAATTTATAGGCCCTTTCTGCATCAAACGGATGGTCAATGAGGTGGCCTATGAACTTGTTCTCCCCGAGACACTCAAGATCCACCCTGTCTTCCACGTGTCCCTGTTGAAACCAGTAGTCCCTGATGCCTTCCCGGAACGAGA